GCTAGGCGGCAAGCATGGACAGGCGAGCAGGGCAAGGTGGCGGCAGTGCATCCCCGGCCAGAAGAACGGCCGGCGGTAAGTCCCTGTTCCTGCAGTGGAGGACTTGATTGCTTTTTTTTACTTTCTAGGGTCTTTTTTGTAAATTTTCAGTACAGTTGTGTAACTTCTCTGTAACTCCACCTACAATGAATGAAAGATAGTACGGCCGTGTCGAATGAATGAAAGGTAGCACGGCGAACCTGCTCTCTTTGATTTGAAGTTCATGTGTCCAGCGAGATTCTTTGCATTGACGTCATTTAAAAAAAATGCAAAACAATCTTTGCCGTCTGTACTTTAGTCTAGATGACAGCAAAGAACAAGTTTTGACTGATGGCAAAGAACGTGGTTTTGCCGTCTGTTATTTTGGCGGTAGACGGCAAATCTGTAGTTGGCTGACGGCAAAATCTTTGCCTGTCTACCCGATGAAATGCTGACGGCAAAGTATTCTTTGCCAACTTTGTCTTTGCCGTCTGACTTTGCCGTCTGCTTCCTGACGGCAAAATCTTTGCCGTCTGTATTTCGGTCTTTGCCGTCTGGGATCCATAGACGGCAAATTACCTGATTCCTGTAGTGAGATCCCGCATGGTTATGTTTCAACGAAATTTTTTTGTGCAATTTTTTCTCCGTTTTGTGCAACTGCCTAGCCATCGATGTGTAACTACCTGACAGGGATGTGCAACTTTTTTCCTACACCGTAGACGTGCAGTTTTCAATATGGTACCTCCACCCCCAAACTACCTCCTTCTAGTGATATATGCAACTTCGTATGTTGCTCGGGCCAACTGCATAGTAGTTGATGTGCAACTTTCCCCTGCAGTGGATGTGTGGCCTAACAGTGGACGTGCAACTTCGGATACTGCCACGGCCAACTGTCTAACAGTGATGTGCAACTTTCTCTCGTACTCCCATGGATGTGTAGTTCCCCTGCTAACACCTGGCCCAAACCACCCCTGCTAGTGATATTTGCAACTTTAGCACTCTGTTTATATGCAACTTTTCAATACCCTCATGAATGCCAATTTTTCACCATTCAATTGTCTCTGCCTGTGAGATGTGCAACTATAAATTAAGTTTATTCCTTGGAGTAGACTTGCACCCTGCAGTTACCACCTTATGATGATTTGGTAGATCACCAGCTCACATGCCTGACTTATGCAATCTCACAAACAACCCATGAATGTCAGCAGGTGGGAAATTAAATGCACTAGATGTACCAAGCAACCAAAAGTATAATAACATATAATAGTACAATAAGGTATAGTCAGATCAGATAATACAATATAAAGTCGATACACAAATAACATAGTACAATAAGTTATAGTCAGATACTCAGATCAGATAACACAATAGAGAGAAATACACAAATAGTTGGGACGTCATCCTACTTGCATAGCTGGCCGACATATAAATAACATATTAACATACCAATAGCACACATATTAGATGGGCAAGACAACACACTACGCCTGATAAGAATAACCCTCAATTAGTAAATCCATCTTGTCTCGGACAATCTGGGACCAAGCAACCGTGATGTCCACCTTAGTGCCATAGACAAAGCAACTACCCATACTTACGTTGCAATCCTGGGGATGGAAGTCAACATCGACTGGAGGATCAGATTTCCCATATGCTCGTATGCCTTGTATGCTAACTTTCAACCGTCCTTGCAATTGTACTGACACAACGCTCCTTGAAAGAGAAATATACCCATCTAAACCATCTTCAGGAATTTTTTCAGCGGAATCAAGCAAAACAACTTCATCACATGAGTGATCATCAAGCTCTGCAGAATACGAGGTGCAAGTAACTCGGCCTCCGTATTCAAAAGGCCACCCCCCTTTACCAATATGAACCCCCACGATAGTTGCCTGGACCGTTGCAGCAAGTCGTCCAAGGCTCAACTCTGCACTACACATGGAGCCATGGAAGCATAAAGGTTGTTCTAAACCGTCATAACGCTTGCTAAGACTCATCAATACTCTGTCTTTGATCTCATCATCGCCCTTAATAATTCTTAGTTTGACTTCGAAGTCAACAGGATCCTCGGCTACAATTGCACGAGAAGGGCCAGTCAAGCATAGGGAAGAGTCCTGCAAGCATTATATCACCATTTTACTTGAATGGAATGTTTTGCTGAAGAAGGAAAATAACACTTTAAAAAAGAGATGAAACTGAAGAGAAAACTAAATCTACAACAATGCATACATTTTCAGTGAGTACTTGGCCATAAAACTTTGACCGACGGAAGAGAAGGTTGCGGTTGCGGTCCACGGTGTCCCGGGCAGCGACCTCGCCGTACACATAGAGTGGCCACTTGAGGTCATTGTGCAGTCGAGTAATTTTGAAGGAGTAGATCTGCACGGTTGTCCCAGTGACAGCAGCAGGGGGAAGGGTGATACCGGGTGTGTAGTGTGTAAACTGCATAGGACTCAGAGTGGCTGCAGCACCAAAGCCAAAGTGTGAGCTGTCATAAAAAATCTAATATGATAAGTAAATTGAGCAATTGTCTTCCATTCCCTCACATAAAGAATAATGAGGGAGGAAGTTGGTGATTTGCTGAAATTTCTTGAGGCATGTATAGCTAAAGCAGGATGCATGCATGCATGTTTTACTTACTTTTATCTTGGAACCGACCGCACCGTCCGGACTTGCTGCAGTTTGTATCTTCCCAGTATCCACGATGGCCGGCAAAAAGTCGCAGCTCGGTATTCATACCCTCTTTGAGACGTTCCATTGGGGATTTTGTTTCCTGCTGGTCAGGGGCCTGCGCCACGACAATCTGCTGCTTCTTCTTCTGCTTCCAGTGCTTCCTCTTCTCCTCCCTCTCCCTCGCTGCCTCCCTCTCCGCCTCCTTCTCCCTCTCATACTCCTCCTCGTCCTCCTCCGTGAACATCATCGCCAACTCATTCTTGTAAAGGTAGGGTCTCTCCCTGACATTGGAGGAGAGACGCAAGAATTCGTTGGACAGCACCTTCTTGCTCTTCTCCTCTGCTGCGTCCTCCACCGCCTCGTCTGCAGGCTTGTGGAAGAGATCCTTGGAGATTTTCATTAATCTGGACGTTGTGCTAACCAGCTCTTCACCATTGTACGAGGAGATGGTGGCACGGGAGCTGGAGAGAAATTGTGACATGGATAGCATCCGGTGGCCCAAATCCTCCGTGTCTTGGAGGACGAAATCGAAGTAGTTTACGAGTCCTTTCTCGTCGTCTCTAACCTGCAGTGATTCCATCTTCTTCTGGTGGGAGAGAGACCATGTGCCCTCGGCCTTGATTCCCTTTCGGGAGACCCTGGACGTTGTTGTTGTAGAGCTGGTGTCGTCCTCCCAGTTAGAAATCCCGGGAGTAAGGGACTCAATCAAGCTTTTCCGCTCCCTCTCCAAGGACATGATATCCTCTATCAGCATCGACAACTCAATCTCATCGGGCTGCTGCTCTTTCCCGGATTCGCTCTCCCTCTCCATCTCCCTCTCCATCGGGCTGCAGGCAGCAGCAGCAGGAGGGACGAGATCGACCGGCCGCCCGCCGCTCTCTGTTTCAGTTTAGGGTTTAGGGTTAAGAGACGAGACAGACGTGCGCTCACGATCGAGGCCGAAATCAAATCAATTTCCGTCGCGCGCGCTAATCCACGCCGTCATGATGGACCCCTTATACGTTCCTTTTTTTTGTTGGGTTGGTTCCCTTATATGTCGCCGTGCCGTGCCGTGCATAATACCTACTGGTTTAGGTAGGTAGACATGTTTTAGGCCGGACTCAGCCTTGTACACGCGCTCAACAAATATATCCACGTGCGTCTCTTCTCTTGGTACGTCTCGTCTCCTTTTTTTCTTCCTTCCATTCCATTCGATTCGAGGTACGTACGCCCGTGCAGGCCGCCGCCGGATCTCGCCGTTTCCTCATCCTTTCCGCAAGCTCAGTCCGCCCCGGTCTGCGTCCTCTCCTCTACCTGAACTCCAACAAGCGCCGAGAGCAATCATCTTGGCTGAAAGTTAACCCTAAAGCTGTAGGATCGAGTAGGTTATTCGCAAAAAGGAAAAATAAACCCAAGGCGGCTGCCGAATCAGAGAGAGGCCCAAAAGATGCAGATGGACAGGAGGTCGATCCCGTCGGAGAAGAAAGACTTGGTAGACGCCCTTCGTCGTCACCGTGAGATCCTGAGGTGGGAGACCGATTTGCTGAGGAGCGAGATCACGTCCCGGGATCTGGCGACGATCTCCGGAAAGAAGGCTTATCTAAAGCGTCATAATGCCGATGGTGATGGGAGATCTGTATCACCTCAGTTGGTCGACCACATGTCCCTCCACAAGATCAAAGAAATCAAACCAGTGAGTTTGCCCTACCTCACGGATAATCATGAAGAGGCCCTGGATCTGCTTGTGCACGAGGCACACAAATTGGCCTACCGGATCCAGTCTCTGAGGAAAGAATTCAGTGCCACCATCCCCTTGGAGAAGCTCAGATTATTCCATCTCCTGTCGCAAGAATGTCTGAGGATCTCCGAAACCATAGCGACCCATGGATCGCCAGTTACATGCAAATCTTCCGAGGATGCTGAAATTTCCCTTTTCAAACAGCGCGGTATAGGCTGGGAATCTACTTGGGGCAGTCCGGTGTTACGGTGTGGCAGCTTCAATGATATAAGTAAGATAAGAGTTCATCTACCTAATTTCCTCTTGTTAGTACGCTTTGCTCCTTTTTAGAGAATTCGATATGGACTACATACAGAGCAGAATAAGTCTATATACATTCATATGTAGTCCATATTGGAATCTGAAAAAGGTCTTATATTTAGTAATGGAGGGAGTTTTTTTTTTAATTAATCTGCATGTCTCAATCTATGCAATCATAATGCTTGCTGCTTTGCTTCTTGTATAGTGAAGAGAATATTCTAGCCCCTTGATTTACTGATCTCCAGATTTAAATAACACTACCCACATTCATGATGCAGCCACGCTGTCCCCTATGTACTCTACGCACTCTGCACCTCGTGTCATTGAATCCTCTCGTTACATCACCAAGGCCTTGCAGATCTACTCCTTCAAAATCTTTGACCTAAATGAAAACTTGAAGTGGCCACTCTATGTGTACGGTGTGGTGGCTGCTCGAGACGCTGTGGACTTTAACCGCAACCTTCTCTTCTCCTGCTCCAGGGCTAACTGCCAAGTAGTCACAGAAAAGGTATGTATGAAATATTTTTCCCCTTACTCTTGTATGCATGTGATTTTTTGTAATTATACTAGCAAACATAGAAACTTAATATGTCGATATGGCTCAGCTAGTTCTGAAGTAAGAAAAGCATTGCTTGATTATTATTACTCTTGGCTGAAAACAACCTGATCGAAGCAACTCATTTCTTTTATCTGGTTGCAACATTTCACAATTCTACCTTCGGTAATATTGAAAAGATTTCCTTCTTTCCTCCTAAAAGTCACATGCCCACCTACAGGTGATTGTCCATGCACATCTATATGGATGCAGACAATTAGGTATTTGATGCCTTTGTACCACAATGATGTATCTTGAATGCTCGATTGGGTGACTGGCTGCTACTTTTTTCAGTTAATGGGATACAATATTCAGTTGACAAGATACAATATTTAGGCGTCCTTGCAGGAAAGACATCCTATCTAGCTAGCTACTTGAGCATGCACTGGCACTTAAAAGACACGTCCAGGACAGAAATAAAGATAAGAGGAAAAATAATAAAAGTTCTAGCAGGAGCAAAACACCTGTGCATGCACCCGAGCAAAAAGCAAGTAGCATGCAGATTAACTATGCCTATGCATCCCAGTAAATAAGTAATATCTAGTTTGGTTAACTTTGCTGTGTGAACATGTCTTGCAGGACAGAACCTTTATACTCTATCAGTCTATCTATAGTTTGTTTACTGAATATGGGAGCTTGTGTTCCATTTATGAGAAACCAAAAAGTCATTGAGTTTGTTCCTAAGAAAAGTTGTGATGGTCTATTTAAATTTACACCTTTGTAATACTCTCCATACTATCTCATTATATGTTTGTCCGTTTCAGTTAAGCATTAGTAATGACAATGATGATGTTTGCAGGATCCTTTTTTGCACTTGACTGGCCCTTCTCGTGCAATTGTGGCTGACGAACCTGTTGACTTTGAAGTCGAGCTAAAGATAAAATGTGGAACAAATCAGTCCCAAGATATAGCTTTGATCAGTTCTACTTACCACTACACTTCTAGAGGTGATGCTGCTTTTTTCACTGGCCGCTCTTGTTCGGCAACGTTGAGCCTTGAGACAGTTCCTAGAGCGGCCCAGGCCACTATTGTATCTATTCGAGTGGTTGGAGGAGTGTCTCTTTTCGAATTTGGAGGCCGGGTTGCTTGCTCGTTCTCTACTGAGGAGTATGTTGATCCCACATGCGAGCAAGTTGTGCTGGTTGAGTCTGCTGAAAAGATTCCTGAGGATGATGGTTACCTTACACTGTCAAGGAAGGTTGTTACGGCAGGACTACAAGGAGGATTGCAAGTTGCCATACAAGCCTATGGGGGATCTGACCGTCCATCCGTATCCGGTCTTCTTTACTTCCCTTCCCAGTATTGCAGGGTAAGTCGGCGCACATGCTTGGTCGGTGGCTTTGAGGTGGAGGTAACTGTTGCTTGGTCGTGGTTTGTACAGGACAAGATGGAAATCTTGTGATCAAGGGATCTACTACCTATCTTGCCCATCTACTATGTATCGCTACTCGTTAGTAAAAATGTTTGAATTATTTGTATGTCGGACGGCTATGCAAGTAGGATGGTGTCCCAACTCCCAACTGTTTGTGTAGAGTCACTTTATATTGTGTTATCTGATCTGACTATAACTTACTGTACTATGTTATACTTTCGGTTGCTTGATACGTCTAGTGCATTTAATTTCCCACCTGCTGCCATTGATGGGTTATTTGTGAACATTGCATAATATAAGTCAGGCCTCTGAGCTCGTGATCATACCAAATCAACATAAGGTGGTGACTGCAGGGTGCAAGTCTACTGCCAAGGAAGAAAAATAATTTAGAGGGTCCAGTGTCGAGTCCTCTAGGGATGGTAGATAGCCGGAGTTTTATTTTATTTTATTTTATTTTTTGCGGGGGAGATGACCAGAGTTCTCCAGTCACAGAACACGATCAAACCGAAGTTGTCACCACGGACACGGTTATTCTATAGTTCAAGCAGCTCGTACATAACTTATTTTGGCAACTTCAAATTTATTACTCAAAGACAAGTCACTAAGGGCGGGAACCTCTAACCGATACCCAATAAACTATTAGAGGAGGATAAATCTGATTCTCCTCGTCTAACGAGGAACCAACCGAACCCAAAAAACCGTTAGTCGAGAAAAACTTTTACTCCACAGCAGACGTGACTCTTAAATACACTTGACCGACTACTTGTGGAGTAAAAATTCCGCAACCAATTTCACCTCGCCTTCCACCGCCCCGCCCGCCTAATCCATGCCGGCGCACCCCCATCCTCACCAACATCCACTTTAGCACTGGATTGCCGCCGATAATGGCCGGATCCAATCACTCATGGCCATGGCAGTTCACCCTCCTCCCGCGTCGGCGCTAGTGCTTCTTCCTCCCACATCCCCGGTCTCCTGCCGCCGACCGCGCAACAGCAATACATCTTGGTGTCGTGCAGCACCGATGAGGGACGTGGGTCGCGGAGATAACCGACCGTGACACGGGCCGATTTGGGTTGGCTCCTTCCACTCCGCCGTGTGAGTGGTGTGCGAATACGACATCATGCAAGTCTGCTTCCACGGCGCCAATGCCCGGCACAACTTCCTTGACGGCTTGTCGCGGTGGGAGCCTGTCGGGGTGGCCACCGCATGGGAGACATGGGAACACGGGAGACCCGCGAGCGCCTTGAGGAGTGGCAAGCAGACAAGGCGCACATGGCGGAGCTCCCCGAGCTCTACATGGAACGCATCGAGGCAAAGAGCCGGTTGTACGTGCTGGGGTGAGAGATCATCAACCTCTCGTCTAGCAACTCCAACGGTGACAACGACGATGGTGGCAACGGAGTAGGACATGGTGATACCAACGACTAGGGCCATGGCCGTCAAATCGGAAGGCTTAACGAATCAGAGTAGGAGCGCTTGGAGAACGAGAGCGGCATCGAGTAATTTTTAGTAAGTTTTTATGCAATGTAGTATAAATATTGTTTGTTGTAAGTTATCAAAATATTCGGAATTTGTGTAGTAGTTTTATGTAGGAGTTTTATGCAAGTTTGATGTAGTCTTTGAACCAAATTTGTGTTGCATTTTTTTACTCTGTTAAGTATTGGGGATCGGTTAGAGATGGCATTCTTTAGAAGAGCAAAGACACTCTCGGCTTTATCCTCCTCTAAGTTTTGTGGATCGGTTATTGATGCCTTAACATCAATGTGCAAGGTTGCACATTCAGGGCTTTTACACCGCATGTAGAAGAAGACTGCCTTGATCGGAAACAACTATGCAGACATGAGCATACATCCTTATGGTCTTATGGAGAGTTGGAGACGAAGCATCATGAGCCAATGTATGAGCTCGCTTCTTGTTCTCCCTTTTGATTTTGAAGATTCGGGTAATATCGAAGAAACTGCTAAAGAATGGGTCTGATTGTTCAATGCCATTGGTTTATCATCATCATCATCAGTAAGATAATCTACACTGCAAGATGAGGGCCTATGCGTAAATGCTTTTGAAAGGTAGATTTGATAATGCTAATAGATTTGATCTGTGAATCACCTATACTCTTTGTTTCTCATAGTATGAAAAATATATCTGAAACTATAGGTCAGGATGAGGGTCAGGTGAGCTTGCTCTCCATGATTAAGCCTTAATCAATCACACTGGGGTTGCCAATTGCAATGCAAGGAAGATGGAGAGCAGCAGCAGCAACATCATAAGCATTAGTGGAGAGGGGGTGCTTCTGCCAGAGCCGCTGCAGACGAGTCGGCCGACTATTGCGGTACGAGCACACCGATTGCTTCCTGGAACAACAGAATGTACAAACCAAACGGTTAGGAGGAGCAAAGATCCATTGAAGTGCCTGTCATGCGGAGATAAGTTCCATGTAAACTGACACAAGCTTATCATATCAGAATGGCACTGTATATTGAGAAATTGCTTGTGGGTGTGAGATGATTGCTATAGTGAAAGCAAGTAGCTTGCAAATTACTATGCTTACACATCTAAGTAAATAAGTAATAACTAGTTTGGTTAACTTTCCTGTGTCAACATGTCTCACAGGGTAGAACCTTTATACTCTATAGTTTGTTTACTGAAAATGGGCGGTTGTTTTCCATTTATGAGAAACAAAAAAATCATCGAGTTTGTTTCTAATAAAAGGTGTGATGGTCTATATAAATTTAACCTTTTATAATACTTTCCATGCTATCTCATATTATATCTTCGACCGTTTCAGTTAAGCAATAGTAATGCTAATGATGATGTTTGCACGATCATTTCTTGCCTTGGCTGGCCCTTCTCATGCAATTCTGGCTGATGACCTTTTGCTGTTTTTTAGATTTCTTTGTTTGGGTTTGTTGAGTTGAGCCCTCAGCATGACCTTTTGCACCTTGTGTCCATACTCCATACTTTTTTTCTTTTTTTCCTGTTTAGACTATGTGTGTATCTTGTGGTAACTTGGCGATTGCTTTATTTACACTACACCACAACACTTGATTAGGGGCAGTTAACTGCCGGGAGAAATACCTTATCAAGGACAAATAATCTGCCGGGAATTACCTTACTGCTGGCACAACTAAATATGGGCAAATAAACTGCCGGGAGAATATAAGTTACCGGGGCATGCGAACTGCCGGGATGATCCGCGACAGGTTTTCTGCCGGGATAACTGGGTCACGGCCCACTAACTGCCGGGACGTGGTGCAAGCCATAAAGTGAAATCTTTTGGGCCTAATTGTGCGGGAGAGCGAGCGAGGGAGCGAGACGGAAAAATATTCGTGGGCCGATCATTCCCAAATTCCAACAACTACTCGTCTCAGCCTCTAGTTCTAAAAAAAAAACTCGTCTCAACCTCTTTCTCTCAAAAGAAAAAAGAACTCCTCTCAGCCCCTATCCAAA